TTCAATATGTGTACAAGCAACACTAAGGAATGAGAGTCATGATAGTCAGTCAATCATTTATAAACAGAAAGAAGTAATCTCGTGCTCATGATTGCATGAAAAGTGATTCTCAAACAGCTCCACACTGCCTGTGCTCCTGCCAATTTTGTATCTGTACACTTATGTCTGATCATTTGTTTATGCAATGTGCATTTGAATTAACAAACTTCACAAGAGATAAGACAGAAAAAGTCGGCACTGATCCAAATACTAATTAATTACATAAAAGGACAGCAAATCATATGGGTTGCTAACTTAGAGAGAATGCCTTACCACACAATACCACATAAGACATAGACAAAAAGAGGAGGAGGAACATCAAGAACAAGATGGAAAGACATCAACCAGAGAAACTCAACAACATTAGGACACGTCTGTTGTGGAGTCAGTCAGAAGACTAAGAAGCAAAACATTATATCGCCCTTGACACCCAAAGTGTTGAACTGAGAAGTGAGGGCCTAACAGTCTGCACACCAAATCATTCATCAATAACTGTACAATGGATGAGCAAGCACAACTCAAGTTGTGTAAAATGACTAAAGTTCAGAAGAAGTGGAGGAACCAGCAAAACTTTCCACTATAGTTTACAGCTGGTTATTGCTAAGAAGAAGAAGATGAAGAAAAAGAAGAAGAGATGGATGGGGAGATAAGGGGAGGAGGAGGAGGAAGGAGGAGGAGAAGAAGAAGAAGAATGAAGAAGAAGAAGAAAAAGAAGGAAAAAAAAGATGAAGAAGAAAAAGAAGAAAAACAAATGCATATTTGACAACTGTGACATTAAAGCTTACAGAAAATCTGCAAAACCTACCAAACTTGAAAAACACTGCTTGACAGCATCAAAGGCGAACAACACCTAACTGACACCTACCTGCCAGAATCTAGCAAACTCAAAACCAAATCTACTGGACAACATCTACACATACCTCATTGTCTACATTACTGACTCGCAGTTTGATTTCTGGAAAAAAATACAAAACAGAATTACCTCCGCTTCTAAATGATCCACTCATTCTAATCTAATCTCTTCTACTGTGTGATGCAAAGGTATCCTATACTTTTCTACTGTGTGATGCAAAGGTATCCTATACTTTTCTACTGTGTGATGCAAAGGTATCCTATACTTTTCTACTGTGTGATGCAAAGGTATCCTATACACTTCTACTTGTGATGCAGAGGTATCCTATACTTTTCTAGTGTGTGATGCAAAGGTATCCTATACTCTTCTACTGTGTGATGCAAAGGTATCCTATACTCTTCTGTGTGATGCAAAGGTATCCTATACACTTCTACTGTGTGATGCGAAGGTATCCTATACTTTTCTACTGTGTGATGCGAAGGTATCCTATACTCTTCTACTGTGTGATGCAAAGGTATCCTATACTCTTCTACTGTGTGATGCAAAGGTATCCTATACTTTTCTACTGTGTGGTGCAAAGGTATCCTATACACTTCTACTTGTGATGCAGAGGTTTCCTATACTTTTCTAGTGTGTGATGCAAAGGTATCCTATACACTTCTACTGTGTGATGCAAAGGTATCCTATACTCTTCTGTGTGATGCAAAGGTATCCTATACTCTTCTACTGTGTGATGCGAAGGTATCCTATACACTTCTACTGTGTGATGCGAAGGTATCCTATACTCTTCTACTGTGTGATGAAGAGGTTTCCTATACTCTTCTACTGTGTGATGCAAAGGTATCCTATACTCTTCTGTGTGATGCAGAGGCATCCTATACTTTTCTACTGTGTGATGCAAAGGTATCCTATACACTTCTACTTGTGATGCAGAGGTTTCCTATACTTTTCTAGTGTGTGATGCAAAGGTATCCTATACACTTCTACTGTGTGATGCAAAGGTATCCTATACTCTTCTACTGTGTGATGCAAAGGTATCCTATACTCTTCTACTGTGTGATGCAAAGGTATCCTATACTCTTCTGTGTGATGCAAAGGTATCCTATACTCTTCTACTGTGTGATGCAAAGATATCCTATACTCTTCTACTGTGTGATGCAAAGGTATCCTATACTCTTCTACTGTGTGATGCGAAGGTATCCTATACACTTCTACTGTGTGATGCGAAGGTCTCCTATACTCTTCTGTGTGATGCAAAGGTATCCTATACTCTTCTGTGTGATGCAAAGGTATCCTATACACTTCTACTGTGTGATGCGAAGGTATCCTATACTTTTCTACTGTGTGATGCGAAGGTATCCTATACTCTTCTACTGTGTGATGCAAAGGTATCCTATACTCTTCTACTGTGTGATGCAAAGGTATCCTATACTCTTCTACTTGTGATGCAGAGGTTTCCTATACTTTTCTACTGTGTGATGCAAAGGTATCCTATACACTTCTACTTGTGATGCAGAGGTTTCCTATACTTTTCTAGTGTGTGATGCAAAGGTATCCTATACACTTCTACTGTGTGATGCAAAGGTATCCTATACTCTTCTGTGTGATGCAAAGGTATCCTATACTCTTCTACTGTGTGATGCAGAGGTTTCCTATACTCTTCTACTGTGTGATGCGAAGGTATCCTATACACTTCTACTGTGTGATGCAGAGGTTTCCTATACTCTTCTACTGTGTGATGCGAAGGTATCCTATACACTTCTACTGTGTGATGCGAAGGTATCCTATACTCTTCTACTGTGTGATGAAGAGGTTTCCTATACTCTTCTACTGTGTGATGCAAAGGTATCCTATACTCTTCTGTGTGATGCAGAGGTATCCTATACTTTTCTACTGTGTGATGCAAAGGTATCCTATACACTTCTACTTGTGATGCAGAGGTTTCCTATACTCTTCTACTGTGTGATGCAAAGGTATCCTATACTCTTCTACTGTGTGATGCAAAGGTATCCTATACTTTTCTACTGTGTGATGCAAAGGTATCCTATACTTTTTCTACTGTGTGATGCAAAGGTATCCTATACTCTTCTGTGTGATGCAAAGGTATCCTATACTCTTCTACTGTGTGATGCGAAGGTATCCTATACACTTCTACTGTGTGATGCGAAGGTATCCTATAGTTTTCTACTGTGTGATGCGAAGGTATCCTATACTCTTCTACTGTGTGATGCGAAGGTATCCTATACTCTTCTACTGTGTGATGCGAAGGTATCCTATACTCTTCTACTGTGTGATGCAAAGGTATCCTATACTCTTCTACTGTGTGATGCAGAGGTATTCTATACTCTTCTACTGTGTGATGCAAAGATATCCTATACTCTTCTGTGTGATGCAGAGGTATCCTATACTCTTCTACTGTGTGATGCGAAGGTATCCTATACTCTTCTACTGTGTGATGCGAAGGTATCCTATACTCTTCTACTGTGTGATGCGAAGGTATCCTATACTCTTCTACTGTGTGATGCGAAGGTATCCTATACTCTTCTACTGTGTGATGCAGAGGTATCCTATACTCTTCTACTGTGTGATGCAGAGGTATCCTACACTCTTCTACTGTGTGATGAAGAGGTATCCTACACTCTTCTACTGTATGATGCAAAGGTATCCTATACTCTTCTACTGTGTGATGCGAAGGTATCCTATACTCTTCTACTGTGTGATGCAAAGGTATCCTATACTCTTCTACTGTGTGATGCAAAGGTATCCTATACTCTTCTACTGTGTGATGCAGAGGTATTCTATACTCTTCTACTGTGTGATGCAAAGATATCCTATACTCTTCTGTGTGATGCAGAGGTATCCTATACTCTTCTAATGTGTGATGCAGAGGTATCCTATACACTTCTACTGTGTGATGCGAAGGTATCCTATACTTTTCTACTGTGTGATGCGAAGGTATCCTATACTCTTCTGTGTGATGCAGAGGTATCCTATACTCTTCTACTGTGTGATGCAGAGGTATCCTACACTCTTCTACTGTATGATGCAGAGGTATCCTATACTCTTCTACTGTGGGATGCAAAGGTATCCTATACTCTTCTATTCAATGATGAAAAGTTTTCACTATCTCACTATGTTTCTCCTCTTCTAAGGTGTTTGATATTACTGTCAGTTGTGTTTTCATCTTAGTGGGTGGAAGAACCTTGCAGACTGATTTTTCTACCTGGGCTTGGATGGATATGACTGGACGATAAAACTACCATCTTGTGCAGTTTATTCTTGTCTATACTGACATGTAAAAATACTATTTTATTTTGGTATAAATAATGCCAAATATCAAGGTACAGGTGATGACGACGATGATGATGATGATGAATACGTAGAGAACACTAACTGGAAACAATGGCCCCAAACGTTTAGTCACAAAAAACAAAAAACTACAGCCAATGTGAAGTTACACTGAGAATCATGGCAATGACATTCAGAAAAAGCAGCCAGGCGACAGCAGCACCTCAGCAGAATGGATATCAAAGCAAGGGGCCCTTGTTACCCCAGTAGCACTTTGGGCAGATGATGCCTTAACCAAACTGTTTAGGCCAATCAACACTTGGTGGACGAGGTGGGAAACTTTGCCGGCCGCCTTTACTTCCCAGGTCCTTACCTGTTACCTATTTTGGGCTGGGTCATTGTGACAGCCACTGTCAATTTAAATAAAAAACTACCAGTAGATGTGGATTAGAATCTAAAACTTTTGGGTAGGTATGCTAACTTCTATATATACCATGTAAAGATACAAATTATTTGCTTGTTCTTTGTTGGACAGTGCAGAACCAGCCACAACATTTTTGGCTGTTTGTGATTTCACGAGGCAATTGTGCGGTTGGTAATTTGCCACTGCTTACTGAATGGTCAGCTCTGGATACACTGTTGACACCAAGACAAGGTGGTCTACTGCCAAATTCACCCGCAGATGGGACTGAAACTGGCACCTCAGAGTTATGAAACATGTTTACAACTCCTTAGCCACAGATGCAGACAAGACATATATACAGACTACTAATTAATGAAGAAAACAGGACAAAATTTTCTAGATAACACAGGCACTGACCTTCTCCATGATTATAGTCTTCATCATCTCTGAGAATCTTGTCTCTCTCTCTCCTCTGCTCCGCCTGCCTCTTCACGTCCCTGACCGTCAAACCCTTTGGCTTCTCCTTCGGGAGTAAACCTTATGGTGTAAAAGAATATATAAACAGCTTTCAATTCACTAGGCTCGATTCTTTTTAAAATTTGAGACAGCTGCACAAACCAGTGGTCCAATTCGTTAAAGAACAGCAGATGTATTGATGTGATCAGTGTTCTGGCACCACAAGTTTAATTACATCATATATTACACAAAATCATAAGCTGTATACAAGTAGATGATATATCAAACCATAATAAAATGTGCTGTTTCAGATTTTACATAAAATTGCGTGTGCGTGCGTGAGTGAGTGAGTGAGTGAGTGTACATACAATATGTCATTTGATACAAGATGTAGTGAAATGTACTTTGTATTGATTATTCGATTTGATTGGCACCTTTCCATCTTTGCAGACGGAAGTGTTTTATTGCGCTATGAGTAGGCATGGGACTATCAGGAGTGTGACTAACAAGACCCGCCTGTGTCAAGAATAGTCTTCCACAATGATGGGATTTCAGGACCATTGTTGTCATCATTTATGTTTAATCCGTTTCTTTTAAGATGCTCAGCTCTTTTTTTTTTTCGCTACCATTTCTTCCTTTACTTTCATTTCCTTCCTGATATGTCCTCTCCAAACAACACTGTCAATAGCATTTTGTCCCCATGAGTCCACCTCAATTCCTGTATCATTCACGTCCCGCTTGCACGCATCTTTATACCATAGTAGAGGTCAGCCTTGGCATCTTCTCTAACCTTCTTAATTCACCATCAAGGATGTCCTTAGGGCCATCCTCCATTCTCCAGGTGTGACCCAGCCATCTGAGCCTTTGCGGACTGAGCATTGAGAAGACTGTTGTAGTACCTGCTCTTTCCAGTACTTCAGTGTTCGTGATTTTTGTCCTGCCACTTAAAGCCAAATATTCTTCTTAGGCATTGCATGTGAAAGCTATTTAGCAGTCTTTCCCAATGGAATAAGTTGACCAAGTTTCACTGCCATAAAGCAGAGTGCTGAGAACACAAGCCTGATAGACAATAGTATAACCTTGTATTATATCAAATGATTTTGTATAATATTTGTTCGTGATTTTATGATATTAGACAAAAATTATTTGATATGATATAAAACAAGGTACATATTTTATGTTAAATTCATAACATTTTTTTTTTAAAATCACATGTAATATCAAATCATATGTAACAAAAAAATTGTCTGCAAACAAAGAAAACAAAAAAGGGAGGAAAAAAGATGAATAAACAAAAAAAAAAGAAGCCAAAGAACTAACCAAAATAACGCTTTGTATTCTCGTCAGCATTCTCCACATCCCAGTCATCGGAGGTGTTTGTATTCTGAAAGTTGGTAAAAACACATTTCTTCTATCTGAGACACATGGGGAGGACAGAGACAACATGGCTCAGACACAGCTATTTGCTGTAGATTCATTTATCCTTTATCACTTCAATATCATGGATGGAATCCAGCCCAGTATCTTTGGCTTCTCTCATCAACGTTCGCCTAGGTGTTTCTCTTGTCTTTCATCCCTCTAGATCCCATTTCAGTACCTGTCTGGTGATGCTCTATTCATTTATTCTCAGAATATGTCCAATTTAGAACAATCTACTCTATCTATAACAGTTTCTTACTGGTGGTTGCCCAGACATCTCTCTCATTTCTTCACTCCTCTTGAACTCATCCCATTTTATGATCATCATTTTCATTTCACATCTTTAGTGGTTCTGCAACTTTTACTGGAATATTTTAAAACTGAAATAACATTAGAAATGAAACTTGATTCTAAAACTATATAATTTAGAATTCCATATTTGGTTCCAGCTTTTAAAAGATGCTGATGCCTTATCAATACTGGTCACAATTTCTTTCTATACATTTACATAAAAACAAGATGTGAACACTGAATTAAACTGGCTAAATAAAAGCATCATATTAACTACCAATGAATAAACAAACCAAAAAAAAAACGAAAACTATTTCTATAAATGACAACAAAACACTTGAGACATCAACAAAGTATTTCCCTGCCCCAGGTTTAAAAATCAAAGGTAAAAGAAAATCAATAGTAAATCTGCTGTGCAAAAATAATAATGGTTTAAGTGCAAATATAAGGTGATCAATTCCCATCCTCACAGTTAAAAAAACAAAACAAGAAAATCCCGTAGCAGACCGTGTCAAAGTAGTGTTCAATGAGAAGGACTTTAAGTAAACACTGGCACGATGTCTGCTCCTTCTTCTTCTATTTCACATTTACCAGCTGTCAACTACAAGAAAATCCCGTAGCAGACCGTGTCAAAGTAGTGTTCAATGAGAAGGACTTTAAGTAAACACTGGCACGATGTCTGCTCCTTCTTCTTCTATTTCACATTTACCAGCTGTCAACTATGGTGGAAAGTTCTGGTTGCTCATCCCCTCCTGGACTTTGGTCTTGGTCCAGAAGTGAGTTTTGCTAAAAACATCTGTTTTACAGATCTGGTTAGTGATAAGATGGGAGAGCTAGATAGTACTCAGGATAGGATAGTTCTTTGTCTTCTTTCGTAATTTCTCTCTTTTTCTTCTTCTTCTTCTCAGCATTCACTGGTTGTAAACACTGGTGGAAAGTTCTGGCTGTGTGTCCACTCCTTAAATTTAATTTGAAATTCTTCAGGCAAACAATAACTCAACTCTGCCATCCCATTAAACCCAGCAATGACAGTCCAGTTAACCCAGCCATGACATCCCAGTTAACCCAGCCATGACATCCCAGTTAACCCAGCCATGACATCCCAGTTAACCCAGCCATGACATCCCAGTTAACCCAGCCTATACAGCCCAGCCATGACATCCCAGTTAACCTAGCCATGATAGCCCAGTTAACCTAGCCATGATCGCCCAGTTAACCTAGCCATGATCGCCCAGTTAACCCAGCCATGACATCCCAGTTAACCTAGCCATGATAGCCCAGTTAACCCAGCCATGATCGCCCAGTTAACCCAGCTAAGATAGCCCAGTTAACCCAGCCAAGAGAATCCAGTCCACCCCGCCATGACATCCCAGTCAACCCAGCCAAGAAAGACCAGTCAACCCAGCCATGACAGCACAGTTAACCCAGCCATGATAGCCCAGTTAACCCAGCCAAGTTAGCCCAGTTAACCCAGCAATGACAGTCTAGTCAACCCAGAGAAGACATCCCAGTTAACCCAGTAACGTCAGTCCAGTTAACCCAGCTAAGATAGTCCAGTCAACCCAGCAGACAGGCCAGCCACCCCGGTAAGCCAAGCAATGTCTCAGTTCAGTGACTACAGAAACCAAAGTTGCACTCTCTGTAGACAGTGAAGTGAGTAAGCAGCAAAGGTAAGAAGCAACCCAAAGATAGCCCACAAACTTTACCTGTCTCTGGTGTTGGGGATGAGAGAGATATCCAGCAGGTGGTGCTCTCTCCCTGACGTTGGCCAGATCAATCTGCTCCCCAGAGTCTACATCTGTCTGAAGGTATGTACCCCGTTTCTTCTTGCCATCTTCTTGATCTGGGAGAAAATCACATGTCTGGCTAAAGTGAAGTACTAAAGTACCAAATCATTTTTGAGATAATCAGTTTCATAGCCTTTCCAGGCTCAGGATATTTCATCAAAGGCCTTAATATCTGAATATTAAAGAAAAAAATGCATAGGAAATGAGATCTTAATATCCGAACCTTAAAGGGAGAAACAAGCATAGGAAATTAGATCTTAAAATCCGAACTTGAACAGGGTGGGGAAAAACCCCTGTTGGAAAGATCCTAGACATATTGTACAGAAACCACATCACAAATGACAGCTCACTGTGTCATCAGTCAGTACAGCAGCAACTATTTACCTCTTTTAACAACAGTGACAAGATTCAAATTACATTGGTATGGACATGTAATAAGACCTATCAGCCTCTTTAAAACTATACTAAGGGCTAAGTAGGGACAGGCAGACCAAGAAAGAGCTGTATACAGAAAAAGGCTGAATGAACAGGCCCCAAACAGGCAAACATCAAGTCAATTGCATCTGAATGAGAGTGGTAGAGGGAAACGATCCGACAGTCAACAGCAACTGGTGACCCAGTGTTACGCAGTAATGATGAGGATGATAAAAGCAGTGAATTTACCTAGGGCATTTGCCAGCTGGGAATTTGATGAAGATCTTCTCAAAGTGCTCATTGCTTCAGACAACCTGGCACCTTCTTTATTCAACCCTTGCATGATCCCTTCCACTTTGGCCAGTTCTTTCTCCATCTTCATCTTAGTTCTGACAGTCTCAGATGCCTAAAATGATAAAGTTTGTGAAAAATTAGACAGAATGCCAGCATAATGAGCGCAGATTATAAACTAGATCATATTAAATAGAACATGACATGCTAAATTTTAACTTTGTACAAATGGATTACTTTTCCATTATTACATTCTACTTGGGTATGGACATGTCCAACATAATAATTCTCCATTATTACACTCTACTTGGGTATGGGCATGTCCAACATAATAATTTTCTGTTATTACATTCTACTTGGAAGGAGACATGTCAAACATACTAATTTTCTGTTATTAAATTTTATTTTGGTATGGGCATGTCCAACATATTAATTTTCCGTTATTACATTCTACTTGGAAGGAGATTATGTCCAATATACTACTTTTCTGTTTTTACATTCTACTAGTAAGTGGCCATGTCCCACATATTTTCCATTTCCCCATTTCACTTCGGAGTGGACATGTCTCTAACCAACAAAATATTACTTTTACTTCTTTAGATTATCTTCTTCTTCTTCTTCGCGTTCACCAGCTGTACACTCTGGTGGAAAGTTCTGGTTGCTCGTCCACTACTGAACTGCAGTCCTGCTCCAGAACCTGAGTGTTGCGTGTGCATCAGTTTTACAGATCTCATTCTCTTGAATACAGACTGTTGGTTCCTTGCCTCTCCGGCAAATGCACTCCGACTTCAAAGGAAGCTCCCCAATTAGTCGACTCTTACGACATGCTTTTGGGGAGGCAGTGGGTCTATTCTTGTTTTCCCCACAATGGGGCCCTGGAACCCACACGGGTGCTTTACATTATATTTTACATGGTTACTTACCAATGATGGCACACTGCGACTGCGCGTTAACTCTCCATGGACTTTTGTACGCAACAGAGCAACTTCATATTCCAACTTGCTATTCTCTGCCGCAGTCTCCTCTAACTCCTAAACAAGGACACAAAAAGCACACAAGCAATAAACAAACAGTATCTTCACTGGCACTAGCTTGATGACTTCAGAAATAAGACACACATTTGATACCACATGTATAACACACTGCACTCTTCTGCAGCAAGAGACTGAGCTCTTGAAAACTTGTGGTGAGGTCGATAAGTTTACCCCCTGTGGGCTGCTACCTAAAGGTGTACCATACCATTCTGAGATTAAATATTCTCAATCTGGACAGCAGACCAAAAATTCAGATCTCAGAGACCCTGTTCTACCTCCTAAGAAGTCATAATTAGGGCACTCGTAATGACTATACCAGCCTAGTGAAACCAGCAGTCCTGTGTGGGTAAGAAGTGTGTTAAGATGCTTCAGCAATATTTATCATCTCCATCATCAAGGGCCGCGCTGAGAAAAGCAGGCAATCACAGTTGGCCATCTCAAACAGTCATCAGAATCATGGAGCTGGTGCTTGTGCCGTCTACAAACTCTCATTAGCATTTCTGTTGGATTCTGAACTGTTGTTTGGTAACAAGTGGCCAGTATCACAACAACACTCCTTAGCTACAGATTATCACCCTCTTGTGCCATTAAGTGTCACAGTTAATTCTTCCATTCCGTTCTACCCTATTTCAAATTCATGTATGGAATCCAGTCCAGTACACTTGGCAACTCTCATCAACATTTATCTTAGGGTTTCGTCTCAATGCTGCTTCTTCAATCCATGTGTTTCCCATTTAAGTGCCTGTTTGGTGTGTCTCCTCTGTTTACTTCTCCTCAGAATCGGCCCAATATACCCCCACCGTTTATGTCTTATAAAAGTTGATATAATATAATATGCATGCTAATTACAGTGTAGCGATTTTTGGCACCCCTTACCAGGATCACTTACCAGATATAGCTAGTCGGGGGGGGGGGGGGGGGGGGGGGGGAGCTTCTTATGTGTTGACACCTGTATTCACATTCAACAGCTTTAAACTCTGGTTGATCGTCTACCTCTGGACTTCAGTCTTGTTCCAGAACCTGAGTGTTACGCGCACATCCATTTCACATATCTGGCTTATTTATTTACAGACTGTTGGTTCCTTGCCTCTCATGCAAATGCTTTCTGACTTGGAAGGAAGCTCCCAATTAGGTGACTCTTAGGACATGCTTGTTGTGGTGGCAGTGGGTCTATTCTTGTTTTCCCTGCAATGGAGCAAAGAAAACACACGGGAAAGCGAGACAGTACTGATTCTTATCTGGAAAAGTCACCTTGGAAGCTTCGGCCAACTGCTGGGTGACTCTGGAGATCTCCTTCTCCAACATCCTCTGCTGCTGAGTCAGACGAGCCATCTCTCGGGGGTCACGTCTGCTGACATCTTGCTGCTTCAGCACACCATTCAAGGCTCTCTCCATCAGCTCCTAGATAAAAGTGGAGACATAAAATAATGCACAACTGCTGCTACTTTAGAGAGAAACAATAATCAACACATCTCTTCTTCTTCTTTTTCTTCGCATTCACCGGCTGTAAGTCCGGCATAAAGTTCTGGTTGATCATCCTGGACTTAAGTCTTGCCCCAGAACTTGAGTTTTGCGTGCACATTTATTTTACATATCTGGCTTATTTGTATGCAGACGGTTAGTTCCTTGCCTCTCAGGCAGATAGTTTCTGATTTTGACAGACACCCCTAATTAGTGGACATTTATGACATGCATGTTAGAAGGGCAGTGGATCTATTCTTGTCACCCCATCTTCCCTTCCCCCACCTCACAATGGGGTCCAGAGCCCACACAGAGAATAAACATATCTAAAATCAAGGGGAGAAGAGATGTGGTGGTGTAGTGCTACAAGCTCACCTGCAGGTCTGGAGATCTTGGTTTCAAAATACTGACCTTGGCTCCCTGCTTGACCCAATCTAAAATGGGTAGCAGGTAATGTCCTAGGAAGTAAAGGTAGTCATCACGATGCTGACTCACATCATCCATTGAGTGCCGATTATAAAAATAATGATCTAGCACAGAAGTGAACAGAATCTGGCCAGAGATGACCACGACTCACTTGACTGGCACAGACAGGTCATCCTTCTACATGAGAGAACAGGGCATAACAAACTGAGATGACAGGGCACAACAAACTGAGATGACAGGGCATAACAAACTGAGATGACAGGGCATAACAAACTGAGATGATCACTACTCACTTGACCGGCACTGACAGGTCATCCTTCTTCATAACAAAACAGGGCATAACAAACTGAGATGACAAGGCATAACAAACTGAGATGACAGGGCATAACAAATTGAGATGACAGGGTATAACAAACTAAGATGACAGGGCATAACAAACTGAGATGACAGGGCATAACAAACTGAGATGACAAGACATAATAAACTGAGATGACCACTACTGACTTGACTGGCACAGACAGGTCATCCCTCTACATGACAGAACAGGGCATAACAAACTGAGATGACATGGTATAACAAACTGAGATGACAGGGCATAACAAACTGAGATGACAGGGCATAACAAACTGAGATAACAGGGTATAACAAACTGAGATGACCACTACTCACTTAACTGGCACAGACAGGTCATCCCTCTACATGACAGAACAGGGCATAACAAACTGAGATAACAGGGCATAACAAACTGAGATGACCACTAGTCACTTGACCGGCACAGACACTTTGTGTCACCTAGTGTTTATCACTTGTGTGATGTACTGGAGGGGTACAACAAGCAAGCAAGCAAGCCATGCTCAATTCCCTAGCTATAGGTGTCACCACTGCTAACAAGTCAGCCCTCTCCCATTAGGTCTTACAGTCATCCTTTGGTCTCAGACAACAACCTGAAATGTTGTCATGCACACCCACTTGGAATATTGTCACACATGCACCCACCTGAAATTGTCACACGCCCACCTGAAATGTTGTAACACATGCACCCACCTGAAATGCCACACACCCACCTGAAATATTGTCACACATGCACCCTCTTGAAATGTTGTACACACACCCACTTGGTATGTCGTCACACACGCCCACTTGGAATGTTGTCATACACACCCACCTGGAATGTTGTCACACATGCACCCACCTGAAATGTTGTCACACACACCCACTGGAAATGTTGTCACATTACTGATTTGTCTTGTATTGGTTTCATCATTGGTACAGAGAGCTGAACATTCAGAAAGAAATGGCAAACTACTGAATGTAAAGTTTGTTTAGAAAAGTTTACTTGGAATGTTTTCACACAACCCACTTGGAATGTTCTTTGTGAGAAAATGGCCATTCTTACCTTATCCTCCCTGAAACTTGAGACTCGAACACTCTGCTCTTGCAGCCGTCTGTCCAGTTCATTGAGGCGGTCAATCTTTTCCTGAAAGAGTATACACAGATCTACTGTCTGAATAAAGTCCCATAAGTTACCATACACAGGAAGAATAAACATTGTTTTAATAAACATAATTTTTTTATTTATATAATACGCTACACATAACTACCACCGGTTTTTTTTAATTACACACAGATGCGTGTCCTGCACTGGTGAAGAAAACGTATAAGCACAGCTGGAGTTAGGCGTGTACTGGCATTGGAGCTGGAGCTCAGGTCTCTTGTCCATAACAATAGCTCGGCTCTCTGATCTGTAACAATAGCTCAGGTCTCTGGTCCATAACAATAGCTCGGGTCTCTGGTCCGTAACAATAGCTTGGCTCTCTGATCCGTAACAATAGCTCGGCTCTCTGATCCGTAACAATAGCTCAGGTCTCTGGTCCGCAACAATAGCTTGGGTCTCTGATCAGTAACAATCTCCACTTTCAAAATGTTGATCACTGAATAAACTTGGTTGAATATGAATAGTCCAGCTCTAGAGCCTGTTCTTCTGTCAACTTAATGGTATGTTCTGTTCATACTGTTTCTCTCCCAGTCTGAAAAGAACTGACATCACAGAAAACAAAATACACATCAAGCATATCACACACATAGACTTTACCTCCAGATCCACTTCCTCAGATGACAACAGCTTAATCTCTTCCTCCGTCTGTTGAATCAGCTTCTCTTCCTGATGTTTTCTGGAAAATTCTAGCATCTTCTTTGGTGGCTGATACTGGTCTGGGCGTAGCAGATGCTAAAGACAACAGACAATTAGAACATTCAGAAGACGAGGGTCTAGTCAAGCAAGCAATAACATGTTCTGCACTAATGAAATAAGCAGAGAACTCTCATAACATGACTGGCATCTTTCCATACAACAGCGTTATAGTGTGTTATACAGATTCACAGCCTGTGGTGACTAGCTAGACCCACTAGCGTTTAGAAAAGTCTTCCATTTACAGCATGGGATTTCAGGACCATCGCTGCCATCACAGGTATTAAATGTGATTCTTCTCAGACGCTCAGCTCTTCAACTATCTGCAATCATTTTCTCCTGTACCATTATTTGCTTCCTGAATGTCACCTTCCATCAGTACTGCGCAATGCCTCTTTTTTTCACTGCATCAATAATGGTATCCTTCGTGTTCCAGGGGCACACATTGCTATATTAAAGTATAGTCCAATCTTGACATCTTCTACCCATCTGTCAATCCCTCATGTTCCATGTGCAGACACCGTTATATCATAGTATAGTCCACTCTTGACATCTTCTACCCATCTGTGAATCCTTCATGTTCCATGTGCAGACATTGCTACATCATAGTACAGCCCAATCTTGACATCTTCTACCCATCTATCAATCCTTCATGTTCTATGTGCAGACATTGCTATATCATAGTATAGTCCAATCTTGACATCTTCTACCCATCTGTCAATCCCTCATGTTCCACGTGCAGACATTGCTATATCATAGTATAGTCCAATCTTAACATCTTCTACCCATCTGTGAATCCTTCATGTTCTATGTGCAGACATTGATATATCATAGTATAGTCCAATCTTGACATCTTCTACCCCTCTGTCAATCCCTCATGTTCCATGTGCAGACATTGTTATATCATAGTATAGCCCATCTTGACATCTTCTACCCATCTGTCAATCCCTCATGTTCCAGGTGCAGACATTGCTATATCATAGTATAGTCCAATCTTGACATCTTCTACCCATCTGTCAATCCCTCATGTTCCAGGTGCAGACATTGTTAATATCATAGCATAGTCCAATCTTAACATCTTCTACCCATCTGTTTCTCAATGCTCTCAAGAAGGCAGGATGAGAAGATGATTCAGGAGACGACAGTGAGTCGGCAACACTCCAAAAAAAAACTACAAGAACTTCAGGTCAAAAGAGGTGTTGCCATTCATGAACACTATACAGCTAGCCAAAGACGAATAGTAAACCAACACAGACCTGGTGTTATCAGTCACCACATACTGAGGGATATACTGAAGATGGGATCCGAGGGCTTACAGACATGTCTAATGTGCAATTAGGATAAACTGTCGATTAACTAACTAACCAAGTAACTGTTAAACAGGAATCAGATTCAACATATACAAGCACTAGCACACCTACCTTTCTGTACTGAGTTGCCAACATGAGGTTGTCCCCCCCATAAAGACTGCCCATGGTGACCATGTTGTCCAGCAGGTTAATGATCGGCTTGTAAACTTCCAGCTGCAACAACAACAAGTAGACATCACAGATCAAGACCCAACAATGACTTTCCTTACAACTCTCGATATGAGACATCAATTGTTATTTCTAACTTACAGACTGAACAGAGAAAACAGTGTAGATGCCCATTTATCACTATCATCCTTTTCTATGAGTACAGAAAAGGGCTCGCAATATTATCTTCCATTCCATTCAAATGTGTAACACTTTCAATACCACTTATAGAGTCCTCCAGTGTGGGTTTTGGGGCCCAAATGTGGGAAGAACAAGAAAAGAGCCACTGCCTCAACAAGCAAAGCATGGCGCATCTGCCTGAGCAGCAAGGAACAACCAGCTGCACACAAATAAGCCAGTAAAACGGATGGGCACAAAGCAAAACTCAGGCCTGGGCACAAAGCTGAAGTCCAAATGGATGAACAACCAGGATTTTCTGCTGGAGCTTACAGCCGGTAAACAAAGAAAAATCCAGTCCAGCATCTTAAGCCTCTCTCATCAGCATTCATCTTAGGGTTTCTTTCAGTTGTTCTCACTTCCTCAATCCATTTGTTTCCCATTTAAGTGCTTGTTAAGTGATTCTCTGTCTTTTTCTCTTCGTGATGTGCCTGATATATAGTCATCTTGTAAACAATTGATACCAACGACTGTCCAGGCATTTCTCTTATTTCCCTGTCTTTCTTGAATCCATCCCATATTATGTGCAACAGAGGATGTCCTCCTCTCTACAGCACAAAGTTTGTGCAGCATTGTAGAAGCCATGAGTTGCCCATTCAGGCTGATCCTCTCTCGACCTCTCTTGCTATTTTAACTAAGAAAAAACAGCATTCCAGATGACATATGATGACACAGGAATATAAAACCACTATGCTATCTTAACAAAGGCAAAACAGCATTTCAGATGGCATATGATGACACAGGAATATAAAACCATTACGCTATCTTAACCAAGACAAAAGTGAGGAAAACTCTCATTAAAAATATTTTTCAAAAATCACAAACAAAAACTTACTTTATTTTCAATGTCCTCGATGTGACTTTTAGCTTCCTTGTACATCTCATGCTGATCCAGTAACTGCTTGTCCAGGACTTGGCCGTACTGCTGCATTCTGGACACAGATGGAAGCATTGGTCAGCATAGGGGATCCAGTTTTCTTTCACACTTTTATCTTAATGTTGTAAAAAGGTAACTAATTAGAATGGAGATTACAGAACACTGAAACCCATGTGTGAGTTCCAGGGTCCTATATGTTGGGACAGACCAACGTCTTTTCCAGATACGCCCATGGTGCTGATGTCATCAGCTTGATGTGATGTCACCACCCTGGGCAAGCAATATGTTCCGTTTTCACCCGGACAGCCTGGTTTTCTCAGTGTGTTCCCAGCTGTTCCCTGAGTACTCCCCCAAACAATTATAGGAATAAGCTCGAGAACAGAACATGTATATAGGTATATAGGTTAGTTGTGTATCTTTTACAGGACGTTGCAGAACCAACACCAACAGCCCCTGGCTGTTGTGTGTTTTTTCTAGGCAAATTTATGTCCAGTAGTTAGCCACTGCTTTGTCGACTTTCTTGATGCCACTGTCAAAACCAACGCAAGGCGCATGGCCCGCAGCTGGGATTGAACCCGGCATCCCGGCATTATGAAGCGTTCGCATCGACTGAGCCACAGAGCCGACATATAGGTATATACACATATAAAAAAAAGAGATGGCAACGCTTTGGAAGCAACGTTTACTTTAGAACAACCCTCACCACATACACCATCTATTTCATTGTTATTGATTTATTGGCAATTTATGTTAAAATCTGTTGGCAGTGAATGTTATGAGATTTATTAGCAGTGTATATTAAAATGTGTTGGCGGTTTATGCTGGGGATATACTGACAGTTTATGTTAAAATCTGTTGCCAGTTTACATTAGAGATGTATAGGTAATTTATGTGAAAATGAGTTGGCAGTGTATGTAATAAATAATTATATGTTAATAGTTTCTTGAAGAGATACTGTAGCAGTTTCTGTGAGAACGATATTAGCAGTTCCTTTCATAACTATATTAACATTCCCTCTTACTCTTAGAGATTAGTTAACAATTCCTTCTAGAAATAAGTCAATGGTTCCTGTTAGAAATATTTTAGTAGTTCCTCTTTAATATCTGTAAGTAACTCCTCTTAGAAATATGGAAATATGTTAACCTGCTTTTTGAGGCATTGTGAAACTAGGAGACACAATGTTAATAAAGTGTAGTATTGCTTTTTCTCTTACCTTTGATTCCAGTTGCTGCTCCTTGAAAACACAACACAGTGAAGATAAATCCAAAGTGAATCACACAAAGAATTTATTATTTGTTCTACTCCAGGTTTGTCTGTGTATTTTTCTGATACAATAATATCAGATGTATGAAAATATTTTCATACATATTAAACTGGTTTTGCCAAAAGTCTAATTTGTCCATTTTGCTAAAATTTTAACACACTAACAAATCCACTTGAAGGATCATAATTCGAGTGAACATTTCACAGGCATAGTTAATAACACTTAACACTCAAGAACAGTCTATCTGTAAATATAAAACAATGCATTTACACATAAAAATCACAGACCCACTTTAAGGTCATTCTAAAAAATAAATAAAAAACTGTGTCCACTAAGGCTCAGCCTAGGAGGCACAGCTGAGTCGAAATGTGCCGAGGCCCTATCTGGAGAAAGCTGTGGATAGACCTACTGCCCTCTAACCACAATGTTGTACAAGGCAACTACTAATTAAGATATTACTGAAATCAGATGTGTTGAACCAGAAGGTGCAAATATTGCAGCCTAGCTGTAAATCACACCACAACATGCCAGCCGGCATGAATGAAGAGGAATGAAGCAGAGGAAGAAGAAGGCCAGTGGGAGAATAAACATTACAAGCCGCTTGAGCATAAAACATACAGACTGTAACTGACAAAGCACCAAGGGTCTTTCTACTGGGTCTTAATGGGAACCATCTTCTTTCTGCAAAGGACCTGCCTCGTCATGATGGTTGTATCAGTCCTGATTTGTGTTTGTGTTCGTCTGCTGAAGAAGGTATTTTAGTAGCAAAATTCATCTACTCAATTTTTCAATTATTATGTTCTTATAAAACTGGCTTCTGAACCTGGTCTTTCCTTCCGTGCATTGGTACCACTAGGGCTGGGACCAACAAGACACTAGATAACCCAAGTTGCATGACAATTCTTACTGTCTGCGGTAATCCAGCTCAGCTGGTCTCCTCTGCTCCACTTGTGAGCGGTGAACATCTCTAGCCTTTTCTAACCCTGCCTGGTTCCTCCGCAGCTGTATCAGCAGCAGCACTAGCTCATCATGCTGGGGACAGAGAGAGAAACATCCAGAGATGCAGAACAGAGAACTCATCAGTTGAATACCAGACTTGACTATGTACATCAGTGGTCTCTAAGCTGGGTTCCTCCTCCCCTCCCTCAGGGAAGGCCAAGGAAACTTGTCTCTTTTTGGGGTTTGGGGGGGGGGAGAACAACTGTATTTGTAATAATCAATTTTGTTTTAGTTTAATTATAAAGAATTTTTATTAAAATACTTTTTAAACAAAGCAACAAGAAGATCTTTGTTTTTATGAGCAGTTTGCACATCTACCGCTAAACACAGAATTTAATGATAGGTTAAGAACATTCTGACCAAAATGTATCTCCATTCTTTCTGTTACCCTTGGTTTGGAATCCACTGTCCTCCTCTTTTTAAAACAACATTTTGTGAGTGCGTGAGCGTGTGAGTTTGGGGGGGGGGTCTCCTTGCCATATACTCAAGTACTCATTACGTGCTCTTGGCACTATTTGTAACTTGATGGATTTTGTCCGTCTTTATTTCTCAGGACGCTTCCTAGTACCTATTTTAGGCTAGGCTGACCCAGGAGCCAGGTTACATGTTGTTAACATCCTTGCCTTGATGATGGTCTGAACCCATAACCATCAGGCAGGCAGGCTAATCATGTCACTGGACTATAGGAAACATCAAAAGTCAACATCAAGAGCTCTCCCCCACCCACCTACCCCCACCTCATGCATGCAAGTGCACACACACACACACACATGCATGCACACACACACGCATGCATACACACGAGTTGACACACACACAAATCTCACCGTCTTGCCAAACATCAATATCTCTCCCCCACCCACCTACCCCCACCCCATGCATGCAAGTGCACATGCACACACACACACACACACACATGCATGCATACACACGAGCTGACACACACATACACACACACAAATCTCACCGTCTTGCCAAACATCAAGATCTCTCCCCCACCCACCTATCCCCACCCCATGCATGCAAGTGCCCACACACACACACATGCATACACACGAGCTGACACACACATAAACACACACAAATCTCACCGTCTTGCCAATGAGATCGCCGGCTGAGATACTCATCCTCAAACGTGGGCCACTCAATGGGTTTTTCTTGGCTATCTTGTCAAGGTTGGTCTCCTGGAACCCACAGGAATCAAATGTGTTGCCACATGTTTACATTTTGTAACAGTGATAAGGTTTCAACCCTACAGGTACCACTTTGTTACTAATGGACTGTTACACATGCAGGAGCTAAGGGGATACTGTGGTCTAGCATATCTACCTGTCCAGGCAATTATGTGGGTTCTTCTTCTTCTTCTGCCTTGACTTCTACCTTGAGGGTAGTTGGCATGCTGTGTTGTGTTTACTGTCAGGTGCTGATATCTGTGCCTTTCAGCCCAACAAATGTGATTTCAGCAAACCAAATATTAGTCATTTGTTTTACGACATGATTTGTAAAAGAACAGTAGGAAATTACAGATGAACAGATGAGCATACCCTGGACAGATAACAAGAGTGATGAAGATGTCTGAAAAGAAAATGACTCACAAAGAGAACTGATAACTCACATCAGAAGAAGACTATCTACAATCTTTAGTCATGTCATGAGAAGAGGAAAACTGGAGTACAACGTGACAGTGGGAAGGCTGGAGGGAAAAAGTCAGAGGGATACTGAGAGAGAAGATACTGGACAGTTTGACATCATGGCTGGAGGATAATCTGTGTCGTGTCAGAGTTGACTGAAAGTTCACAAGACAGAAGGTTGTTGATAGTAGACATAACTACCAATGCCACAGGATACAGGCAAATAAGCTTCTCTTTCTTTTTCTTAACATGTCTAGAACAGCGCACTCAGTATGTCTGCCCTATGCATACTTCTTCTTTCAATTACTACTGCTGGCTATTTCATTTCCTTTCACCCTGGCGTCCCAGAAACTTTACATGGATTCTCATAGAAAGCAAAAAACGTTTAACAGACACAACATGTATCAAAGACCATAACTGTAACATGACCACATACCAAGATATCTCTGTCAGACATGTTGGGATCTTCTTTCACAGTCTGGATCTGGGCTGGCTGTCTCCTTGGAGGAGCTGAAAGAAATCACACCAGTCTGTTATAAACCAACCTCACTCAGACTTCTATCATGTGACATAGCTTCCAGCAGTAGCAGAGATGATCACAGTTGGGAGATAACATAAGTGCATTTAGCATCTGTGCATTAATGCTACAATGGAAGCTACGATAGAATATTGCAGCGCTATTCAATCACATTTACTCTGGGTCAAAATGTTTAAAATGGAGATTGCCATGGACCATTGCCAAGCCCCAATACAGAAAGAACATTAATACAATAAAACTGGCTGTGATCCGCACGACACTTGCTAGGCTTCTGTGAGCCAGATTTAGCGTATAGGCTGACAGCTGAAAAGCCTTGGCATAGTGGCTAGATGCTTGCATGTCAGCATAAAAGTCTTAGGTTCAAAACTGCATCGGATTTTCTTCATAATTGATCTTGGCTTCCAGGTCAACCCAGTCTAAACTGGGTACCAGGAAATGTCCTAGAAAGTAAAGGCTGCCAGCATAATGCTGATCATATCAATCATTAAGTGCTGATTGGTCTTTACAAATATGGTTCTAACATCACATCTAATGCACCAATGGTGAAAAGAGACCGTTACTTTACTAATGAAATAATCAAAACCCGCTGCATTTCCACACTGGATGAGAGAACAGACAACAAAAACATTCTCGCTGTGAAACTTGTGAAGACAACCCGCTAGCTCAGGGCTATTCAACTGGCCTCACAAGTGGCCCGCAGATCACTGCCAAATATACTGTATTAATGATCTTCTTGTGCTGGGGCTGGGACCTTTGTCCCAAGGTGATCCTCATTTTCAACATTTTGGCCCCTGGCACCTGAGTAATTTTAGTTCAACAGCCATGCTCTAGCGCAAGTTATCAAATTGTCAATCCATGCTAGTTTCAGATACATCCAGTCTATATTGTTTGTTGTAAGTCATCAAACATTGAGGGATATACCAGGGAGATTCAAGCACTGACAGTCTGATAATTTGAAGTCTAATGAGAATGACCTGTTAGCTAACAAAATAAACTCAGGTGACAAGTAATGCCTTGAACAAGAATCAATACATCTTTACCTAAAACAAATAATACAAAAATCTACTAATCAAACCTCTAGGAATAGTGGTAGAATGGTGATTGGCTCTCATCTGCCGACTCACAGGTCTTGGGTTCAAATCTGCATGGGGTGAAATCAGGAAAAGGGGGGGGGGGGGAACCTATACTTGGCTCCCAGGTTGAACAACACTAGCATAAGCATCTGAAAGTGTCATGGAAAGCAAAGGTGGATGACATGATGTTGACCAAATCACCCAATAAGTGTTGACTGGTCTATACAACATACGTGTCTGAGTCCCATTTGGTCTATACAACATATGTGTCCAATTAAGTGCCAATCTGTTTACGCAAAATATTTGTCAACTCATAACCAATGAGCCGCTGGTGTGAAAAGAGGGTCCTATTAATTATGCCTGTATCTTAGAACCAACTATACCTTTATCTGGAGCCATCCTCAAACTATGGACACGTTCGTAGGCAAAGCGCAGTTTCTGTGCTTCAGGGTCCATCATATTTGTCCGGGAAAATGAATCCTGCGGTGACTGAGGTCCATCCTGTCTGTCGCCGCGAGATGATTGGCTGGTGTGACTAGCTCCAGAGAGACGAGATTTGGGCTGGTTCTGTGAGCTTGGCAACATCTGTTTCTGGAGAGTTGGGTTGTTTCGCTCCAGAGAGTTCTGTTTGTGTTGTTGGTCCTGGCACAATACAAAATAAAAACTTGAGGGGAAATCACATCTGTTTATCAATTACAAAACATGGAGAATGATAAAGAAGTACTAATAACTTCTATAAATAGGCTGAATGTTGAATTAAGAATCGACATCACAACACTCAGGACACCCCCATAAGCGCTCCATCCCCATCTTCAGCAGCAAACAAAGAGATGAAATTCCGATACTACCAGTAACTGTCTGATTGAACTTCTTGCAGTGGCATTCTCCTCAGACCGTAATGATCTATCTGTGCCTCCAAACTGTTCACTTGCTCCAAAAAGGACCTCACAACATCCAGCTTGTCATACATCAGTTCACCACTAAGTGGTGCAGAATCGGCCTATCTTATCTGCCAGCTCATTTCCCAACACACCAGCATAACCTGGAGAAAATATCCAAAAGATGCTAACTACCCGGGACCTTTGTAGTGATGCTTGCCACTCTGCACGGAGCATGCCTGTCTCCACCTTTCTCAACATGCTCTGTAAATATGATTTGTAGAAGGGGTTGAGGTCGGCCTCTACTATGACATAAAAATGTATGCAATTGTGATGTGAATGATATAGATACTGATTTGAATTTTTGAGAACTGGATGCCATAGATGGCGCTGCATGGAGGGGGAGAATTATGAAGGGAACAGGAATAAAGGAGAAAAGGATTACAGACAGGTTAACAGTTATGTATGTGAAAAGAAACATGTTGAATACATGTGTTGGCTACAATGATCCTGAAATCCCATGCAATAATTTGGAAGATTCTTCTTAACAGAGCTAGTCTTGCCAGTTCCCTTTGCCATAACCACGGGCTGCGATAAGCATGTTCCATACAGCACAAAATAATACTTCTTCTTCTTCTTTATTACTGTTTAGCCTTTCAGTGTCAGGTTTTTGAAGAGGTATCAGGTGTGAGCCTTGGTATGTGCTACGTAGATGCTCGTATTTACGGCCTTGAATATTACATCTATCTATGACTTGCATGGTCGACCTCTAGGTCTGCTTCCATTACATCTCAGTGACAGGGCTCTCTGTGGTACACAGTCTGGCACATGTCCAAACTACCTCTGTTGTCTCTTGATGTAGTTTACTACTGGTTCCCTCCCAAATTCTTCCCTGATATTGTCATTTCCGATCCTCTCTTCTAGCTGCATTTAGGATTTATCACAGACATTTCCTTTCTGTACAACAGAATAAACAATGTGGAGATTATGAAGAGAACTATACAGATTCCTGGGGGAAAAAACACATAACAGGACATATATTGAGAGAACCTGGTAACAGTTTAACTAGCAATTAATTTCTTTGGAGCCCACTTAGTAAAAGAAATAGAATGAAACCTTTAATACACAGAGCAAAAAATTAGAGCAAGAGAAGAAATATTTAATAAAATTTAAAAAAATTCTTGTTTATCATGTAGCAGGTCCTTTGCAGAATGCCACTCTCATCACAGTCTGCCTGAAAGAAACTCGGTCTCTCGCCAGTTCTCCTGCCTCATGTACTTTCATACTCAAGGAGTCACTTATATCCTGTGCCCATCTTCATGTCATCCGGCCCCTGCCCCTCCTTCCTGGTACCATGGCTTCTGCTATAGTTTTTTTCCAATCTGCTGTGGCGCTTGATATGACCAAAATATTTTAGCTTCCAAGAAAGGATGCTGTTTATTAGCCAATCTTCCTTGATGTTCAGATCTCCCAAGATGTCAATATTTCTCATTTTCTTTGTCCAAGATATTCTGAGAATATTTCTATAGCATTTCAGCTCAAAAGCCCCTATTCTCTTTCTTAAGGACTGAGAGATAGTCCACGACTCACATCTGTATATGTAGCAACAGGGAAGATGCATGCTCTCAAAATTCTAATTTTTATCTCCTTGCTGGTGCTTAACCATAGACTTTTAGGGTTATTCAATCTTTGCATTGCTTTGGCCATCCTCTTTTTAATTTCTGTTGAACAGTCTCCATTGCTGTTTATTATAGAGCCTAGATATTCAAAGTTTGTGACATTTTCAATGTCTTCATCATTTAGTGTTATTTTTGGGCGACAGCCAGTTTTATCTGTGGACATTATTTTCGTTTTCTTTAAATTCAAGAACAGATTTTGATCTTCGCTGTGCTTTTGGACAGACAATATTAAATTTTCTATTCCCTTTACACTGTTTGAAAGGAGGACTGTGTCATCTGCGTAGAGGAGTTCCGGAATAGGGCTGCCACCAATTTTGAGTGGATCATAACTGTCACAAGTCTGGTCATTTTTGACATTTCTCATTATATTTTCTAAGTATATATTGAATAGGTATGATGAGAGAATGCACCCCTGCCTCACCCCTTTTTGCACCTCGAACCAATCAGATGTTTCACCGGCTGTTTATCACAAAGTTATATTTTCCTGTATCATTTCTTAAAGCAGGTTGTCTCAGAAGATGCACAATAAATGTATGTGATGGCTCTTAACTGTGGAAGACTTTTCTCAAGGTGAGTGAACCTTGCTGTCATACTGGCCATCACCAAGGACTGTCATTCATGTGCCTTCCTACAGAAAAATAGAAGACTATCGTCTGGACAGACTGAAAGATGTCAACCTCTTGGTCAGCAGCAGAGCAACACAGAACAAAGGTAAATGGGTTTTGAAAATGAAAAAAAAAAGGGGTTAACAGTGAGAAGATACACTTTGTGTTATTTTTGCACTGGGGTTAACAGTGTGAAGATACACTTTGTGTTATTTTTGCACTGGAGTTAACAGTGTGAAGATACACTTTGTGTTATTTTTGCACTGGGTTTTATACTATATTGCTTAATTTCTCTTTGCAGTGTGGTTGGCTGCCTAGGGACAGTGATACATAAATAACAAACTCTGCTGCTCCAGCAACCATCCCTGGGGATCTTTAGGATTAAAACAATCATAAACATACAGAGCAGCAGGCAAACAACTTGACCATTCTGCCAAAGAGATACCTTATAAAAACTAAAGCCAGATAAAGGACAGAAGATCAACTACCTGGCTAGAATCAACAGTGACAGATAGAAAGAGTAAAGAAGCGAACACTTACCCGTGGTGAAGGGTACTGGAAATATGCAGGCTGCTGCATTCGCTGGGAGTTCAGCTGGTTAGAAGTCAGCAGGTCACTCTGGGTGGTGGGGGTTTGCACCCGGGCCATGTCCTCCACCATCTGCTGTCGCACAGACGAAGGGTACGGTGGTCGGGCAGGTAGAGGAGTACTGGTGGATGTATCAGAATTAGTGTACGAATCCTCGGCTTGCATGTTTCTGTTTGGTAAGTTCATATAGATGTGTGGGCTATTTTGGTAACTGCGAGAATTTTGTGCTGCGCTGTTTACGCTCAACTGTAGATCCCGTCTCTCGGGGGGTGGAGCTTGATGAGATCTGGGCTGCGGACCTTGGGGATGATGCTGGCGGGGAATTCGAGGCTGCGGTTGTTGCTGCTGCAGTGGTGGTATGTGTTGATTTGATATGAAGCTCTGAGAGCCTGGACCTCTTATGCTTCCCCGTGATGAATCCATGGCTTGAGAAGCTTGCTGTGGGTAAACTTGTGGTTGTGCAAGATCTCTGTTAGATAAAGGCAAAGACAGAGTTAGCTATTCTGAAATTCAGCACTGATTACCTTATTCCCCTTATAATCGCCATATCTCTGTTTGTGTAACATACACACACACAAACTCAGGAATCACGTCAACAATTATTGTTAAAACTATGTGAGTATTCTGTAGTTTACCTTCATGCAATATAGACAGGTGAAAAGCTACAGTCAAGGAAATGCCCAAACAAGTGTCTACTGATAAATCTAATCCTGCTGGAGGATCTAACAGTGACTGACTGACTGACTTTCTACCCCACCAGGACATCACACAAGCGATAAACACCCGATGACACAATGTGCCACCATGTTGATGAGGATCACCGGGGAGAGGTCCCAGAAACCGTGTTCAGCCATTAGGCCATATTTATGACCGGGCTATATTGAGGCCCCTGGCATGAGCCAGTGTAGGGCTTCAAATAACGAAAAATTGCATCCTAAAAAAGACGGCAGGATTACTTAGGATCTAACAGTGTTGACACCATACAAGCAACAAAGTGGGGTCTAGACATGATTGATTTAGAAATATTTACACAAGCAACAAAGTGGAGTCTAGACACCCGTACAATAAAAAGATGATAGAATAGATTGGCCATGTTTTCAGAGGAGCTCCAGGTGGCATCACTACAACAGTTATCGCTAAGATTCAAGACAAGAGCCTATTAGCATCACTAGAACTAGGTCCTCATTGTAGGGAAAACTAAAACAGACCCACCTCCTACCCTTCTTCTTCTTCTTTGTGTTCGGTTTCATATGCTCAGATCAGACCATCAGGTGGGTTGCCTCTATGAACTCGCATGTCAGTTGCAGGTCCTTCATATTTCCCCATAGCTTGCTCTGCACACTATGCTCCTGAGGCAAGGTGTCTTTTTGAAGTTGTAGGTAGAGTGGGCAGGTCTGCAGAATGTGCTCAGGTGTTTGTGGTCCTGTCTGGCAGGCACACTGTGGGGACTGTACAATCGTTATTTTATGCATGTGGTGGTTGAGCCTGCAGTGTCCTGTTCGTAGACGGGAACTTCTTCAACTAACAGCTCCTGTATGACCAGACAGATTCTCTTACCTGTTGTCTCACTTACAGACCATCAAAGATGACTGGACAACTACAACTGATAGTACTTGTATGACCAGACAAATCTTCTTACCTGTTGTCTCTGATAGAAGTTCTGGGATCCCTTGCTGGAGGTGGAGGAGGCTGCTGTAGTGTGCGCTGGAACTCCCTCTGTGGTTGATAAGGTGGACTATGCTGAAGTGATGACCCCTGGGAGCTGCCAGAAGATCTCAAGGTGCCATCCATCTGAGGTCTTTGGTAGCTGTGATCACTTCGAGGTGCAGGAATCGGCCTATTATTCAAACCTTGTGCAGCATCATTATGGGCCTGGTACTGGGTATTTCTGGGTAGATGGGTGGGTGGGTGTTGTTCAAGATACTGACTTACTGGTCGCTTCTGAATCTGGTTCTGGGGCTGTTGTGAGCTGGGAAACTGAGAAAAGTTCTCATGAGATTTACTCCGAGCATTGAATGTGTTGCTTTTATCAGCAAGCTTTCCTTTCATCCCATCCAAAAGGTCATCAACAGAGCTGTGTATATGTTCCTCATCCAAGGAAGGGAAGTTCTGATCCCATCTGTTCAGATGTTTGACCCTGTTCTCAGTGTCTGAGATGGAATCTCGGTAACTGTCATCCCTTCGCTGTTCCACAGCAGCAGAGCCAGCTAGAGGCTTCCCCGGATGTTGCTGTTCTCTTTGAACTGAGTTGTATCCCTGCCCTGAGCGAATGGAGTCTGACTGAGCCAAGCTGTTTCTTGCAGAATCAGAAGCAAATCCATTCCTCAGAGGCTGCTGCTGCTGCTGCTGTTGTTGCTGATGTCCAGTATTAGACTGCTGTAACGTGGGGTCTGTCCTGAAACTGCCAGGCTTTTCTGCAAAGCTTGCAGAACTGTGAGACTGGTTTGGGTTGAATGAATGGTCCCTGCTGTCTGACGGGTACAGCTGGGAGCCCCTGTTCAAAGAATTATTCGGTGAACTGTTGTTATTTTCACCAGGAAAGACTTGTCTGAGCTGCTGTACGGCTGTCTGACTACTGTAAATGGGGTTTCCATAACCCGTGGAGTATTTCTGATCAGCTGGTGGATACATAGGGCTGGCTGGATCTCCATAGCCTTGGTAACTAGAGCCAGGGATCATGTTAGAGCCACTATCAGGTGCTCTTCCTGTCTGATAGGGTTGGTTTCCGGAATGTCGGTTGGGGTCCTCAGGTCCAGTATACTGTGGCCTACCTTGGGATGACTCTTGTGGGAACTTGCCCATAGGAAACTGCCGAATGTTATTATTTGGTTCTCTCTGGAAGCTGACAGGGAATAAAAAGTCATCAGTTCACTGGTCTTCAAATGAATATTTATATAATAGACCTTGGATTTCACAAAAGAGCTACAGACTAAACCATCTTATAAAACAAGCAGTTATAACAGAAATTCCTGATTTCACATAACTGAAAACAATCCTTACATTCTCCTGCAACCACTCCTAAAGTTCAGCAACCCTATCAACACATGCCCTGGTCAACCTTCTAAATGACCCCCATTCCAGATCTGGTCAATGGTCAATGGGTAGAAAATGGCAGATATTCAAATATCTAAGCCCCAAGGATGAAATGGAATCAACTCGGATGTAATTCCAGTCAGTACATACTGTTCTGCATAATGACCTGGTTACATCCTAATGAGCCTTTCCAGAGATATAAAGTTCCTAGTCTTACACACCCCTGCAGGGTTTAGAACTTACAAAGGAGAAAAAGTTTGTAGCACGGTCCCTGTAGACCAGCGGTTCTCAACCTGCTGGTTGAGAACATTTTTGGGGGGGGTCAAACAACCCTTTCACAGGGGTCGCCTAAGACATTCAGAAAACACATATTCATTGAAATTATGAAGGAAAATATTCTTTGGGGGTCGCCACAACATGAGGGAACTGTATTAGGAAGGCAGGTTGACAGCCACTGCTGTAGACTGATTGCTTTCCTAAATTCCTCTTTAGCTGGTATCTCACAGCTGATATCGCGTGCCAGAAGAAGAATCATATGTGATGCTCTCTTTTCTTTCTTTTTTAAGCTACTCCCGGTGACCTCCATTACATCAATCCTTCAAATGATTAAGCTTACCCACACATACAAAATGTTCCAAGAGCGCATAATCTTCAGAATAAGAAGCCGATCGTATTCTTCTTAAAGTTCATGCTATGTGGCATTGGTAGTCATGTCTATCCACAAGCCGAACTGTCAACAGGAAATACTTACCCAGAGTTCCCATTCATCATGGCTGCTTGTCTCAGATATGATACCCAGCCGAGAAAATCAGGTTGTTCATCAACAGCAAAGTACAATGTTTTTGTATTTTCATGTTCAACCTAAAGAAAGACATCAAACAGAGGAATAAATCATTACTGATAACTGTGATCTAGCATGAGGCATGAAATATGGTTGTGTATTTTTACTGTCTATTGCCAAGCCCCAAGTGAAATAAAAACACTAACCTTAAAGACAAAGGGCCGTTTTATGTTGTCTGCCTCAGTACAGGGGTTGATTCTGTAGCTAGGCAACAAGATGGAGGCTAGTGTCACTGCTTCATCATCACCTGAATACCAGAAATGGTCAATATACAGTTAAAACAGCAACTCCTGCTCTACATATTTGCTTTAATTTGTGGGAGCTATTCAGAAATTGAAAGATCATTTTTTCGCAGCAAACTTAACATTATTTTCTACCAATCTGAATCTTCAGTTCTTATTCTTATAAAAGATTACATCCATAACACTATCAGCCTAACTCTATAGGTATTGTAAAATACTTCAATCTCCCATCTATATTTGACACTCTTGGTGTTCGATTATAAATCTAGGTCTGACGCTCAACATTTCTTCTTCATCTACAATAATTCTTACAATTCCTTTTCTACATTATCAAGTGCCTTGTTGACTGGCATGTGCTATCATGCCTATCTATAATCTGTGATCTATCTACAAAAGTGTGTGTATCAGTTCCTGTGTTGACACCTCTCCATGCCATGATAAAAAGGCTGTCAAGAATCTTCTCCTGCTGTTTTCCTGTGTATCTCTTTCCCCTGATCTTTTCGGTGGTCACAACATGTTCCAGTTTCCTTCTTCTCATAACATGACCGAAAAAATGGTGACTAATGTCTGTGATAAGCTGTCTTCGAGCCCTCACCTCTTGCAAAACATCTCTGGGCTGCTCTTTTTGGCTGTCAAATTTCTACAACATACAGAGATTACTTTCTTTCAATAAAAAATTTTTCCTCTCAATTCTTGCTAGCTCAACACAAAATGGACATAACTCACTCTTGTAGACAAAGAGAGCAAAGTCAGCAAGAACACACCATCTTCTCTTCCACGTCTTGCTAATTCCACTTGTTTCCTGGAAAAGTGAAATTATCATCATTGTTGTATCATCATCACCACAGTTGTATTATCAACAACAACATATCAGTGCTCTAACATCATCACCAACATCAGCACCGTTGTATCAATACAACCAACATCAACATTGTTGTATCATCATCACCACAGTTGTATTATCATCAACAACATATCAGTGCTCTAACATCATCACCAACATCAGCACCGTTGTATCAATACAACCAACATCAACATTGTTGTATCATCATCACCACAGTTGTATTATCATCAACAACATATCAGTGCTCTAACGTCATCACCAACATCAACACTGTTGTATTAATACAACCAACATCACCATTGTTGTATGAATACAACCAATATCACCATTGTTGTAGGAATACAACCAACATCAACACTGCTGTATGATACAACCAACATCAATATTTTTGTATCACTACAACCAATATCAACATTGTTGTATCATCATCAGTGCTCTATCAACACCACTAACATCAACAATGTCAAAAAGAAACCTATAGTTCATCTAAAAGGCATAAATATTATAGCTCTGCTGAAAACTAACAATGCCAAAAAAATAAACACTGGAAATAACAAAAAGGGAAGAAGAATTTTCTGAGGAAAGTAAGGGAAATGAGGGGGGATGCTGAACATAAACCACAGCTGGGGCACTATATGGAGACTGATTACTGAACTGAATGAATGAACTGCTGTGCTGTGTGGAGGTGCTGTTGTGGTCTCCAAGATGACCATCTGGCATTATGATTCCTAACCATGGATTCTTTTTACAGATCATGTAATGTGGAGTTGGTAATCCTGTCTGTCCACAATCTTCTTCCATGTCATTTTGCTAAACTGTCTGACAGTGTTGTTTAGCAATCAAGGAAGAAAAAAAAAAGGATGGGAAGAAAAAATGGAAATATCTTCTTCTTCTTAGTGTTCACCAGCTGTAAAATCTGCAGCAAGTTCTGGCTGTTTGTCCACTGTTGAATTTGGATCTTGTTTCAGAACTTTCGCCTGCACACCCATTTTACTAATGTGGCTTACTTGTATGCAGGCTGCTGGTTCCTCACTTGTCAGGTAAATGCACACTCCCACTTTGAAGAAAAATTCCCAAATTAGTAACCTTTATTTCATGACATGCTTAATAGTGAGTCTGTTCTTTGTTTTACACAAAATGGAGCCCAGGAACCCACATGGGGGAAAACAGAAACATGAGTGACAAGAGAAATAACTATCACACTCTTTTCCCATTCTATTATACAAGAGAAACTAGAATAAGCATGAGTGACAAGAGAAATAACTATCACACTGTTTTCCCATTCCATTATACAAGAGAAACTAGACTAAACATGAGTGACAAGATAAATAACTATCACACTGTTTCCCCATTCCATTATACTAGAGACACTAGAATAAGCATGAGTGACAAGAGAAATAACTATCACACTGTTTCCCCATTCCATTATACAAGAGACACTAGAATAAGCATGAGTGACAAGAGAAATAACTATCACACTGTTTCCCCATTCCATTATACTAGAGACACTAGAATAAGCATGAGTGACAAGAGAAATAACTATCACACTGTTTCCCCATTCCATTATACTAGAGACACTAGACTAAATATGAGTGACAAGAGAAATAACTTTCACACTGTTTCCCCATTCCATTATACAAGAGACACTAGAATAAGCATGAGTGACAAGAGAAATAACTTTCACACTGTTTCCCCATTCCATTATACAAGAGACACTAGACTAAATATGAGTGACAAGAGAAATAACTTTCACACTGTTTCCCCATTCCATTATACTAGAGACACTAGACTAAATATGAGTGACAAGAGAAATAACTTTCACACTGTTTCCCCATTCCATTATACTAGAGACACTAGACTAAATATGAGTGACAAGAGAAATAACTTTCACACTGTTTCCCCATTCCATTATACTAGAGACACTAGACTAAATATGAGTGACAAGAGAAATAACTTTCACACTGTTTCCCCATTCCATTATACTAGAGACACTAGACTTCACTATATCAATGGTAAGACTTTATGAACTAATACCTAGATGAGAACAGTAAGACAATGTGAACACTAGAGTGAGTGTATGAGCAGTCCTATGACAATTCATAGTCAAATGAAATGTCTGGCAATGTGAATATGTGAAGATTCAGATGAGGATGTGATCAGTAAAATGATGAGTTCACAGTAAAATGAAATGTCTAGCAATGTGAATATGTGAAGTTTCAGATGAGATTGTGATCAGTAAAATGATGAGTGCACAGTAAAATGAAATGTCTGGCAATGTAAATATGTGAAGTTTCAGATGAGGATGTGATCAGTAAAATGAGTTCACAGTAAAATGAAATGTCTATCAATGTAAATATGTGAAGTTTCAGACGAGGATGTGATCAGTAAGATAAAGATGTCAGCAATCAGATGAAAATACACAGATTCATGTGTTTCCTTACCAGCCGATGGAGCCAACCTCTCCTGACAACTTCTGAGTTGGGATTGCGTTTAGCTGTGGGAGCTTTCACACTTCTACAGAGAAAGACACAGCATATCAATATCAACAGGACAACCTAATGAAACAGTACAAACAATAAACAACAGAAACTTGTGAGGACCAGGAGAAGCCCCATTGTTCCCCATTTAGCAAAGTTTCATGGAACTAAAACTGTTTAAGAAATCAGACTTCAGCTTTGGTAGTAAGAAAGGGGACCATGAATGTTGAATATAAAGGAGGAGGAGGAAGAAGAATGAAGAAGGAGGAGGAGGAAGAGGAGGAGGAGAAGAAGAAGAAGATGAAAAGGGAGAAAAAGAAGAAGAAGAAGAAGAAGAAGAAGAAGAAGAAGAAGAAGAAGAAGAAGAAGAAGAAGAAGAAGAAGAAGAAGAAGAAGAAGAAGAAGAAGAAAATGTTGGCCCACCAGAAAAAAAGCACTAAATCTAAGAAAAACTGTGCTATCCCCACAAAAAAGACCAGCTTAAGTGCACCCACCACTGTCTATAGAAATTTTACCAGATCATGTCCCAGTCTCTCCAATGAGGAATGTCACAAAAACATTTCAAACAAATAAAGCCCCTGCCATGACAACTGTACCCCGGTACGTCAAGGACTGTGAAACTGTTGAATGTTGCTGAATGTTGAATTAATAATAAACATCACAGAACTCAGGACACTCCCATAAGTGCTCTGTCCCCAACTTTGCAGCAAGCGCACAGTTCCAATTCCGGTGGTGCAAGTGGTTTATGAGAAACTGAATTGCATTCACTAGCCATAAGGCAGCGCTGAAGCATGGAAAACCACTAAAAGATTTGACCCTAATTCAAAGCAACTACTAAACCACAGAAATGATCACAAAAGAATATGCAAAATCAGCACTGAAACAGGAAACTGGCAGTCTATTTTGCATCCATTATTATTCACTCCCTTCCAGCTTCATTTCAATTTTTATGCCTAAAGTCAGCTATCTGAACTAGTGGTTGACCTTTCTGTTGACATCTGCTTCAAGGTTAATGTCTGAATGTAAATCAGTGAGGTCAACAGCATTTAGTTTCATGTTACACAATCAGGCTTTAACAGGAAGAAGTTGTCTCTCTTCAGTCATACACAGGGCTTCAACAGGAAGAAGTTGTGTCTCTCCAGCTGTAGCAGTGGTTCAAAGGATGTCAACTACTACTGTTTTCTGTTGACTTATGAAAGCAACTTTCTAAACAATTGTAACTTTATTTCTTTTCTGCCTGCTTGTACCAGCCATCATTCCTTGCATTATTTCTTTCCCCTTTTCTTTCTTTCTAAATATATATTATTTCTTTGTACTTATGTATAATTTTTTTTTTTTAACAAGTCATTTTTTATTTTTATGTTTTATCATTCTTTTCTACCTATCTATCATACTTTCTATAATTCATTCATTCTTGTTTTTTTTCTCTGTAATTTATTTCTATCATTCTTTCTTCTATCCTGTATCCATTCAATCATCCTGTCTTACTCTATTTTTTTCAACAGAGAAGGCTCATACAGGGAAAAGAAAACTTAAAATTTAATATCAGGTTCATAACAGAAGCCCTAAAAAAAAACATTTGTCTGTGCAGAATAAACAGTGATCTATGCTGAATTGGGTGCAGTGGTAAAACCGTCTTTGTTAACCAGGAAGTCTATGGGATCTACCCTGCCTCATTATGTTGTGGCATTATGTGCCAGCAGATATAGAGAGAAATTAACTCGAAATGTGCTAAAGCAAATCAAGTAATGGGCAACTATCTCACCTTCGGAGTACTGAAGTGAATCTTATCAGAACTATTTTTTGGCCAACACTATGTTATGAGTGCCAAATGTGGACACTTACATCCTCCAATGAACATAGAATTATGACAACAGAGATGAAATGCCTCAAAAGAACTGCAGGAGTTTCAAGGGAAAACAGAATATAAAATCACGATTTGAGACGAAATCAAGGAATAAAGCCAGTCTTACAGGGCATCAAAGAACAACATATGAAGTGGTTTGGACACCTAACAAGAATACCCTGGTACTATCTCCCACAGCTAGCCACAATAAAACGTTTCAAACGATATAGAGCGAGAGGAAGACCTTGGAAAATATGGTGTAATGGCATAAAGAATAGCTTTACAAAAAATGAACACCAATCTTAATAGTGCTCTTGGCAGAGCTCATCAAGGAGCGTTTCATCTTCCCCCCCCCCCCCCCCCCCCCCCCCCCCCCCCCCCCCCCCCCCCCCCCCACCCCCCCCCCCCCCCCCCCCCCCCCCCCCCCCCCCCCCCCCCCCCCCCCCACCCCCCCCCCCCCCTCTCCTAAACTTTATTGAGGTACAAGATAGAAAAGAAGAAGATTATTATCTTCCAGCAGTGGTGCCATGAAACATAAATAGCCAATCATACCAAACACAGTGCTACCAGTGCCAGACTTGGACATTATCAAAGGCTAGCCTACGTAAAATTAACACCTGGGAAAGGAGATTCCTGAAAAAAGCTGCCAACTTAATCATCCAAGACAAAGTTAGAAATTATATTTGCAGACTGTGGGAACAACAACATACACAAATTCATTGAGAAACAGAAGGTCAAATGGTTTAGTCATTTAGCAAGTACGCAACTAGAACAACTACTAATGCAGGCATTACACATGAAAAGATCTAAAGTGAAAGCAAGAGGTCATCCTAGGAGAAGGGGACTGATGACATTAAAAAGCTTCTATGTCACAACAAAATGATAATATCCATTGCTCCTAATGGGTCAAAGGTTACGTTATGTTATGTTATGGCTGTAACCTGTAGCCATGGACAAGCCTATAGAGAGCTTGGAATTTTTTAGCTGAACACTTACACCCCACCAGGAGATGACAGGCAGGCAATGATGGAGGAAGAAGAAAACAGAGATGAATACAAGGACAAGAAACATGAACTGGGATTGAGAGAATTAACAAGAAGGAAGAGGCAAAAAAGTATAGGCCAACAGTCTAACCCTGCTGCTAAGGCGTTGCAAACACGCTTCGTAATGCTGGACTGCCACCAGGTTTGATCCCAGCTGCATGTGCAGCAGACCATCTTATGTTGGTTTCGAACAGTGGTATTGAGAGCTAACCGTTCAGAAAACAATGGCAAACTACTTAATGTAAAATCTGCCTAGAAAAGCCACAACAGCCTGAAAAATGCTGGGGCTTGATCTGCAACATCCTGTTAAGGATACAAAACTACTAACTACCTACCTACCCTTACTACATTGATTACGGTCTTGTGTTTTCATTAGAACCACAAGTGACGTTACCTTTGCTTAACATCACCTCTCCTAAAGTTCTCTTTATCCTGTGTTCTACTGGAGACCTGTAGCACAGGGCCACTGCTTGGCAATGAACTGTGAATACATTTGATTACATCTCCATTGAACTATTACAGCTGCAAGCAACATACAATGTGTGACCGGCTTTTCTTCTTGAGTCACAAACATCAGGGCATTTGTTCTTTTACATTCTACATTTGGTCAGAGCATATTTTTAAATAAAACTGATTTCTTCAAGAGCTCCTTTTACTGTGTTTTTAGCAACTCTAAAAGTCATGCACTTGTAATTTTTGCTTTCTTTGACTTCTTCTTCTTCTTTGCATTCACTGGCTGAAGGTTCTGGTTGTTCATCCAGCTCTAGACTTTGGTCTTATTCCAAAGTGTTTTACAGATCTGGCTAATCTGTATGCAGAATATTGGCTCCTTGCCTCTCAGGTAGATACACTCTAACTTTGAAGGAAGCCCTAGTTAACTGACTCTTATGACATGCTTGTTGGGGAGGATGTGGGTATATTCTTGTTTTCCCCACTATGGAGACCCAGAACCCACACAGGGACTTTGGCTTCTGAAGTTGATTGTTCTGGGATGGCAATAAATTTAGCTTCATGATTCCTATCAAGATCGACTGGTTTATCCCCTCCAGGATGCTACCTAGAAGTTTACCATACCATCCTAAGACTTAAACATCTCCGTCTGGACGGTAGACAAACAAGGCAGATCACAGATACCTTGTTCAACCTCTGATGCAGTTAAAATTAGAACACCCATAACGTAGACACCAGCCATGTGTGACCTGCGGGTAAGGATGGGTTTATGATTCCTGTATTTTATGTACCTTTAAACACTCTCCCTAAAGCTAGATCAACAAACCAACACAGAACCCCATGTGTGGGTTGCCGGATCCCACTGCTCCCTAAAGCTAGATCAACAAACTAACACAGAACCCCATGTGTGGGTTGCCGGATCTCACTGCTCCCTAAAGCTAGATCAACAAACCAACACAGAACCCCATGTGTGGGTTGCGGGATCCCACTGCTCCCTAAAGCTAGATCAACAAACCAACACAGAACCCCATGTGTGGGGTGCGGGATCCCACTGCTCCCTAAAGCTAGATCAACAAACCAACACAGAACCCCATGTGTGGGTTGCAGGAACCCACTGCTCCCTAAAGCTAGATCAACAAACCAACACAGAACCCCATGTGTGGGTTGCAGGATCCCACTGCTCCCTAAAGCTAGATCAACAAACCAACACAGAACCCCATGTGTGGGTTGCAGGAACCCACTGCTCCCTAAAGCTAGAGTAACAAACCAACACAGAACCCCATGTGTGGGTTGCAGGATCCCACTGCTCCCTAAAGCTAGATCAACAAACCAACACAGAACCCCATGTGTGGGTTGCAGGATCCCACTGCTCCCTAAAGCTAGATCAACAAACCAACACAGAACCCCATGTGTGGGCTGCGGGATCCCACTGCTCCCTAAAGCTAGATCAACAAACCGACACAGAACCCCATGTGTGGGGTGCAGGATCCCACTGCTCCCTAAAGCTAGATCAACAAACCAACACAGAACCCCATGTGTGGGTTGCGGAATCCCACTGCTCCCTAACTAGCCTGTCATGAATGGCGAATCATTTGGTATTGTTTGTGTTCACCAGCTGTAAACCCCGGCAGAAAGACCTGGTTGTTCGTCCCTTTCTGGACTTTGGCTTTGTTCTAGGGCCTTAGTTTTGCGTGTGCATTTGTTTTATAAATCTGGCTAATCTGTATGCAGACTGTTGGTTCCTTACCTCTCAGGCAGATGCACTCCGTCTTTGAAGGATTGTACAACAAGCTTGTTGGAGAGGCGGTGGGTCTATTCTTGTTTTCCCCCCACAACAGGACTTTGGAAGTCACACATGGAACTCGTTTGGTGAGACTGGATGTACTGGGTCAAAAGGTGTACAAAGCCTAGCATAACATACTAACCACCATTTTATGGGCAAACACAGAACAAGTACACAGAGAACAAAAGTAAGGCTGGACAGCTCAGTATGGCCAAGGCATTAACAACAATGATCAGGTCTTTAGTGCTGTGTGTTTATTTGCTACCTCAGTGAAAACAGGACAGGTATCTCACCTGGCTGCTGGTTGTGATGGTCCCTGTTGATGTGGATGGTCAAAGGTTGTCCGTCGTCTGTTGTGACTGAGGATGACAAGAACACTGATCATAGAGGTACTCAACTAGTAGGACTAAAATTTCCAGTGCTCTCTCTCTCTCTTTCTCTCTCTCTCTCTCTCTCTCTCTCTCTCTCTCTCTCTCTCTCTCTCTCTCTCTCTCTCTCTCTCTCTCTCTCTCTCTATTTCTCTCTCTATGTGTGTTTATGTGTCTAAGAGAAAGACAATTTTTCTGTATGAGCAAGACAAGGTGTGTGAATATATGTGGGAGAGATCATTAATAGAACATGCATGTGTGTGTAATATAGACTAATTAGTGTGCACCTGTATCGTCAGTATACAATGACCCTTTTCCATGCCTTTAGATGTATTGGACCCATGAGGTTAGACATATATTTTACAGACAAACGGGTACGCAGTGGGTGATCTGGTCAACATCATGCTAACCATTTTTACTTCCTAGGGCTATTTCTGTACCCATTTATGGCTGGGTCAGCCTGGTGCCAAGGTAAACAAAAACAAAATGTTTAAATGTCCTGATCCATCTGAATTCTACTCACAACCTTTGGATCACAGGCTAGAGTCTAGCCCTATGTCATGGCAGCTCCCTGCGTGTACACGATGTGTGTTTAATACAATTGTCTGCAGCGTGTATATTTTACCCATGCTAACAATGCCCCAACAGAAGTGGCAGTCCCCACGGTAGAACATATGGGATATTTGAGTGCCGTGGGAACTGGCCTCAGATCATGCACCTTGTCTACAAGATACCCTCTAGTTCATGTTTGCCTATTATCTGATACAGCCCTGTCATTTCTGTGGGAACACGGTTTCTGCAGTTCAAACCAATTATTATTATCACCACCATCCCTATCATATAAATCATCATTAACAACAGTCTATACAGCTTCTTCTTCTTGAAAACTCCAGTGGAATCTTCTGGTTGTTCATCCACTTCTGTACTTTGATCCTGTTCCAAAACTTGAGTTTTGAGTATACATCTGTTTTGCAGAAGTGACTAGGTGGGGGCTTCAAATGGATACCTGAAATGTGTACTAGAAAGTACTATAAGCATGCCGCTGTCTGGTGACGTGTCAACGCTGCTGACTGTCCCTGACAAGCATGTAAGGAGTTAATTAGGGGTGTACCCAAATTTGATGGTCATGTGCTGAAAGGCAGATATTACCTCCTAGCTGTAAGCAACAAGATGCCAACCACACTTTAAGGGGTGAACGCAAAACAATAAGAACATAGATAATACACACTGAGGCAAGACACAGATAATACTGCTCAGCGTGGGCTTACAAAACATCCAGATAGGCACCAGTGTACATGCAGTTATGTAGAAAGAGTAATACATCATGACATGACAATAATCACAATGATATCATTAGACAGCCTTGAAGTACAATTAATAAAGAACTAATGTCTTCTTTCATGCTGGGCTATAGTAAGCAGTGATTTCCTTACTCTGTGTGATATGTTTTCACCCAGAATTCTTAAATCTCAGACTGAGTTTAGGACAGCACTCAAAACGCTGCTTACACGAATTGATGGGTATAGCAGGGTACACACAAGAAGACAGTGAGAAACACTGCAACCCAGTACCAGACATGAAGCCATAAATTCTCCCACAATAATTAACCTCAATGCTGTAATACATAATAGATAAAATGTTTCTCTCAAAGGCAGACACTTAAACAGAGGGGAATGGAATACAAAGAAGCTATTATGACTAAACACCACTCAAGTTACATCAGCAAGTGAAGTTCATTCAAGTGAATGACAGGTTTTATTTGTGTACACACAAAAGGAACAAATGGTGGTAGGGAATATAATTTCTATTGTTCTGGTACAGGTGGCGCTAGTGGAGGAGACACCAGGTGGCTGGAGGCGTTACACAATACAGAGGTTCTAAAGAGGAGTGAAGAGAGTTGCTGAAGAAAACAAACAAGACACAAGTGAAATATTTGGACCATATTAACAGAAACAATCTTTTAAAAACCATACTGAAGGAAAACGTTAAAGGCATGCTATAGCAAAAGGTACCAGTGATACAAGTGGGATGATAACATCAAGAGATGGATGAACAGCAGTCTCGGGAATTAGGTTAGGTTCATTGCCTTTTAACAAGCATGTCCTAAAAAGTGCCAAGTAAGTGTTTGCTACAAGGTTGACCCGGCTTTAATCGCGCACCAGGTAAAGCCCTCGGAAGTTAAGGTGACCAGTGTGATGTTGACATCCACTGAGTGCCATTGGTTGATAAAATATAGATCTATCCCTATATGCCTAATACACCTGAAAGCGTGCAAAATGGTCCTTTACTACTATACTTATATACAGCATTAAATATCTATGGTTAAACTCCAGCAAGGAAATCAAAGTCACAATTTTGAGAGCAGGACTATCTCCCTGTCATTAAGGAACAAGAAAGGGGCTATGGAACTGAAATGCTATAGAAGAATTCTCAGTATACCATGAACTAGAAGAAGAAAAAAAAAAGATATGCTAGTAAGCTGTATCTTGTCTCGGAAGATGAACTATTTAGGTCATATCAAATGCCAGGGTAGGAATGTACACAAAGACAAAAGAGCTGGCGATGGATTGAGTTTCTTTCCCGCGGGATGTAATGAGATGTGATAAAAGCTACGAGGTTCTGTAAAGGATCTTCTATATGCTGATAAGTGTGTGTGTAGTCAGAGAGAGAGAGAGAGAGAGAGAGAGAGAGAGAGAGAGAGAGAGAGAGAGAGAGAGAGAGAGAGAGAGAGACAGACAGACAGACAGACAGACAGACAGAGACAGACAGACAGTCAAACAGACAGACAGACAGACAGACAGATGCAGAGGTTTAGACTAAACCCGTCCCAACAATAACCTTAATGTGTTTTTCCCCTAGCTCTGGATATTTGACTTGTGTTCTGACACCACCGGCCTGCCCTCCTCCCCAAACAACAAAGTCTACCTGGAAACATATTCCAGCTCTCCAAACGACCATCAAAAGTTGAACCGTATCCGGGTCAAGCTGAGCACACACAGACGCAGACTTGAGAGCAGCCACGAGGCGGGCTAGACATGCCAAGGATGACAAGCCGACAAATTGACTCTGGCTGACACGCCAGAGTTGACCTAATGACATGCTGAATGCCAGACCCGGGGGATTCTGTTTGGCAAACCGAGCAGAGCGCAGACTGGCTGCATCTTGAGGAAATACTTGCAACAACTGGTCGAAGCCGATATAGAGAGTAGAGCGGCAGGCTTTTAGCCTAGCGATCCTGGGGTTTTGGGTTTAGTTATCTCCCTCCCTCGATCCCTCTACCTCCCTACGTCTTTGAACAAGTTATGCAACCCCCACTACTGAATCTGTTGTGATTAGTTGGACTGTTAAAAAAGGACACCTTTTCCATGCCTTCGCACGCACTGGGCATATAGGGCTAGGTCTATATTTTACAGACCAGTCGGCACTCGATGGGTAATGCGGTTAATATCACACCAGCCATGTTTACTTTCCAGGACTTTACCTGGTAGCAACTCAAGTCTGGATCGACGTAGGAGCCAAGGTTATTTTTGAACCCACGACTTTCGAATTCGCAGGCAAGCGTCTACCCACTACACGACGGCGGCTCCTCTAATTAAACTGTACATTTAGCTTTCCTACAAAAGTGAAATTATGAGTCTAGAACCGACCCTCCTTGCTGGCCTCTTACGACTTGCAAGTAGGCTAACATGCTACTCTTATGAGCCCTGTCAACACAGATCGGTAGCGTATCTGCTGAAAGCTATGTTCAAACACATGCCTTGTTGGTAACTGGAAGAGATCTGGTTCCAGACGACAGGACGACTAGGGCTAGGTGGCTCAAATATCCACCGGGAAGATGTCCTAGATTGGGCCCTAGGTATCTGACTGTCAACAGATCCCCCCCCCCCACCCAATGCCCAGGGGGAGCCGTGTTTAAGGTAGGACTGACTATTCAACTAGCAGGCCAAATCTGGCATGCAGAAGTCTAGCAAGTGGGCCGCAAATCACTGCCAGCTGTAATGTGTTCATGATCTTTCTATGCTAGGTCTGGGGCGAATTTAGCCACATACGCCGTTAAGATAAGATGTCATCGTTAACATAAAAAGTTACCATTAACATAACAAATTGTTGTTAACACAAGAAGCGACCCAGCCAGCTCTACCACACAGACATCTGTCAATCACACAGGTGACTACTTACTCTACAAAGAAGACCTGGCCCTCGTTGGTAACGTCCTGCTCCCAGCCTGGTGGCAAATCTGTGGATGAAATCAGCTACAAGTAATCCCACAGCTGACACTGTCTCTCAGATGGCAGCGGCGGCGCAGAGAAAGAAGAAGAAGAAGAAGAAGAAGAAGAAGAAGAAGAAGAAGAAGAAGAAGAAGAAGAAGAAGAAGAAGAAGAAGAAGAAGAAGAAGAAGAAGAAGAAGAAGAAGAAGAAGAAGAAGAAGAAGATAATGATGATCGGCAGAAAACCTGGATATTGAAAAGGCTGAACTGATGCCCCGCAAATGCGTAGGCCTACAGGGGTAGACAAGAACTAAATGAGGAGCGTCTGTAGCAGAGATGGGTTATTCTAATATCTAGGACACATTGGAGCAACAGAACATGTTACTGCGACAGAAAGAATTACAGAGTTGGGGGGGGGGGCAAGAGGGGAAGGAAGGGTGTAGATATAAGACCTGCTTACTTAAGGAACAACTAACCTGCAACAACAAAGACGTCACATATGACGGACGGCCCGAACCGTTAGCAAACAACCGTGTATGCTTTGGGGATCAGCGAATTTGGGTCAATGAGAGATTCATCTGTAACCTTTTCCCACCAGGAGCTTTGCAGTCACAGTAGTACGGCCCTATAGACGCACGATGAATATGACGTCACCACAGTTGGTAACTTCAGCAAGAAGACGGTCTAAGCTAGGGTGGGAGCATTGGGGGGGGGGGGGGGGGTGAGGAATTGGCGCCCTGTGTTATGTAGAACTTGAAACTGACAACAGAACGGATACTGTATGGATAGCCCTAACATGCAGGCTATAAAAGACTACCAAACCACGACTCACTGTACAGTATTACTATTATTAATTATTATTATTATGCTCAAATGGAATTAGGCCCTTTAAGTCCCTCCTGTCTTTACCTGGAAAAAATATGTGTTGCTTCGGTGAGCCCGCTGCTCAGGACAATTAGAACTGAACCGGCTACTTTAACACGTAGAAAACTTCAGCTGCGGAATCCGTAAGTAAGCGTTACGAAAAAAAGAAGACAAGAAGAAGTCAAAACAAGATTAACGGAGGCCCTTGTCGCACTTCTAAACTTTATCGGCGCAGGACTGTAGGTTACACCAGGCTGTTGCTACCGGAGCCCTAATTAAAACATCTTTGGAGCTTGAACGGGGTAACGGATTGACTCTGCTCGCCTGCCATCCAAATTAGGATTTTGTAATCTCAGGGTGGCAAACAATCTGGAAATTAAGTATACTATGCCCTTCAATATCTGCTAAATGCAAAGTGTCTGTCTTGCAACACCAAGATCAAAACATAGAAAACGTTGATAAGACCAGTCGTTTTATATGGCTCTGAAACTTGCAGCACGACTAAAAGAGATGCAAACAGCTGGAAATGGATAGTGAAAAGCAACAACGAAATTCATAATGTGTTTAAATCACTGTTGACCACTGGCATCATGAAGCTGACAGACAGAAATGGCTCAGGCATACTGAGATAATGCCAGATGACAGAGATAAAAACTGAATACAGAAGGGAGATTAATGGTCGTAGATCAGGAGGCAGATCAAAAAGACGATGAAGAGATAATACTGAGACAGACCTACAAACATCTGAAGTCACCAACTGAAAAGAGGTCAACCAAAGAGATGAATGGAGACGGGTGATATCTGGAGCGTTATTCTGACAGGCAAGCTAAAACCGTCCTTTATGCTGCTCTATCGGCATGCATCCACTGGAAATCAATTTTATAAGGAAATGGATACAGAATCGATTTACTGGGTGTCGGTCTGTGGCAACTTCAACTAGAATCGATTCAACCCGATATTTCTTATACCCGTAGGTGTCCCGACTGCCACGGCAGATGCTTAGATATCCGAGGTTAATGCTGAATTAAGATATCTACATCACAGCATTCAGGACACTCCCATAGCGCCCCGTCCCCATCTTCAGCAGGAAGCGAAGATTTCCAATCCCGATGACACCAGTAACACTGTCTGACTGTTTATCCGTCTCGCTTTTTCCTTGAGAACATCAACCAAACCCCCTGGTAATGCTCTCTCCTAGCGTCGTTCTTCTCAGACCGTAATGATATATTTGTGCCTCCGCACTGTTCACTCGATCCCAAAGGACATAACCTGGAAGAAATATCCACAGGACGCTAACTACACTGGACCTCTGAAGTGATGCTTGCCACTCTGCACGGAACATACATCTCTCCACCTATCTCAACATTCTCTGTAAGTCAGTTACAATGACGGAATGTTTGTACAACTGATTATAAAGCCAGCGGGAAGCAGCAGTGACTGCCTCCACCTCCATTCTCAAACTAGACATTGTGATATCACATGATAGGCTATGTTGCACTAAGCGGTCCATTCTCTTTTGCAGATATCAAAGTGTGTGTGTGTGTGATGCTGTCTTTTTTTTTTTTTTTAGGACACAAAATCAATGGGTCTGTGTCGTTCCATTTGCAGCTATGTCTGCTACTGACGTCAATGATGATGAATGCCAAACATTTACTCCAGCTGGGCTGAATTAAGAACCGACATTACAGCCCTCGTGACATTCCCATAAGCGCTCAGTTTTCATATTCAGGGTTCTAATGCCGATGGTACCAACAGCAGATTGTATTTCCGTCTGTTCCCTGAGTGTTAAATGTAGACAAGATTCCCTGGTCTCTTCTTGATGTACCATTTTCTGCAGACCGCTACATCTTATTTGTGCCTCCGCACTGTTCACTCGCTCAAAGAGGGGTCTGATAACATCTAGTTTGTCATGCATCAAACTACCACAAGGTGGTGCAGAACCAGCGAATATTCTACATGTTCGTTTCCCAACACACCTACATATGCTTGAGCAAATATCTAAAGGACGCTAATTATCCGTGGCCTCTGGGACGACAGAGTCAGGGCACTTATCTTCAGCTTCCTCAAAATGCTGCGTGCGTCTGTAAGTCTCCATAAGTGTACAGCTGGTTCGCAAGCCAGTCCAAGTGTGCAGTGACCGTCTCCACCTCCACTCACAGACTAGATACTATGGTATCATATAATAAGCTTGTCGCGGATAATCCATTCGCTTTTGGGATGAGCACCCAAGCACATGTTTGCATATTGCTAGGTCTAGCGCCGAAAGCCAATTTCATCACAGACGTGAAAGGGGGCCTTTTATTTATTTACTTACCAAATTTACGAAAATACGATATTACTATTCAGTTTATTCATCGCAAACATCAACCCCATTCGTTCTATACAAATTTCTACACAAATTGTAACCACGTCCGCTGGATACATAAATTAATGTCGCTATTCCAATACATTAACCAGGCGTATTCAATACAAACACCATACATAACTCAGTAACGGTCCCATTTACATACTGGATCCATAAAGCTAATAACAAAGTTTTAAACACCGTCAATCCAGCTCTGGTAGGATATGGTCAAATTCAATCAGATCGCCTTTACTCACCACAGCATTTCCTGGAACCATCTGAGAATGGGTCTGTCTACAACGTAAATATAGCTGTCCTAAACTAAACTATAGAAGACTATCGCGTTCAATGTCTACAAACACAGTTCAAAAAACATCTACAGTACTTACTCAACAGGTGAGTCTAAGCGCCGTATCCATACACAGGGTACTTTAATCCGTTAGCGAGACTACACACACACAAACACAGAGCTGGGTAACATTCTACAGAATGTGTGGAATGTGCAAAACGTCACCAAATCTTGTGTAACAACCCGTAGCCCCTTTGAGTCATTTTTGAATTAAAGAGCCCTTTCCATTGATGAGCCGCAGGTAGGACTGGCCGGAGAAGGAAACCCACACAAAGGGGGTTTTTGTACACCTGACGCTCAGAAAGTATTGCAAGGGACCCGGTGTTGACAGTGTTACACCAGGGCCCTTTTCAGCCACTCGCGGTGTCGAGCGTACATTCCATTCATGCCGTCACACACACCGAGGGGCAGCGGCGGTTGTGGGTCATCAGTTGGGGAGGGGGGCGGGGGTGAGGGGAACGTTATGACACGCATGGAAGGAATCAAGGAGATTCGCATTCCTCGACAATACAGCAATGCAGCACGGCGTACGTGTGTGTGGGCTGTATGTGGATAGATAGCCGTGTCAGCGCTGACACTGATAGCAGAAGTCTGATAGCTAGATTCTGAATAAATTCTAGTACTCTCCCAGGGACAACGAACACACCCGCTGATAAGCATGTTGTAAATTGCGATTAATAGTAATAATCTGTAAAACTGATGTGCACTCAAATCTGAAGCTCTGGGTCATGATCAAAGTCCAAACGTACTGGAAACCAAAAATCAGAAAATTCCGCCGGAGTGGTCAGACGGTGAACGGGAAAAAGAAGAAGAAGAAGAAGAAGAAGAAGAAGAAGAAGAAGAAGAAGAAGAAGAAGAAGAAGCAACACCAGCAGTTACACAGTAGTGAGAGCACACATTGCAACCAATCTCATGGCGCACAGAGAAGAAACTGACTCATTCTGGTAGGGGGGGAAATGCGCAGGTAACACCGTAAGACAAACTGCCGCATGGGTGTCCGATGTCATGCTCCCACAGACAATAGGTCACCGCATAACGCGACAATTGTCCTAGTTTTATGAAGCCGGCTTGGCTGTGGATTTCTGGTAGAGAAAACTAGCTGGTGAAGAGTCGGCGTACACATTCTCCTTCTGCGATGTGCTGCTTTAATTTGAGGATGAATGGTTCAAATCCCTGTTTGCTCGCAAGTCTCCATTTCCTCCTGTATCCTATTATCTTCATCTTCTTCGCGTAACACCAGCTGTAAACTCTGGCGGAAAGTTCTAGTTGTTCATCCATTTCTGGACTGCAGTCCTGTTCCGGAACCTGAGTGTTGCGTGTGCATCCGTTTTACAGATCTGACTCATCTGTATGCAGACTGCAGGTTCCTTGCCTCTCATGCAGATGCACTCCAGCTTCGAAGGAAGCTCCCAATTAGTCGACTCTTACTCAAGCTTTTGGGTAGGCAGTGGGTCTATTCTTGTTTTCCCTAT